CCATGACGCGTATTCGTTTTCTATATGATTAAATCATATTATGTGATTGATTTGGTTCACTATGATCATGTATTAATTCCTTCATTTTGTACATGAATAAACAACCCAATGTTTAGAAAGTTAGGTTACAGACAGTGCCGCAACTATAAAATAGGAGGCCCGTGTGCGGTAATTATATTAGACCCCTTTCTAGGATTGTATGTCTTATTTATAAGTATCAATTGTTTTAGGTTTTAAAACATGTTGTACATCAGTTATTATATGATACATGTATATATATATATTAAATGAAATACCTACAACTGTTGTATATTATACTTAATTACATATTTATGTAGTAAATTTGTTTAAGTAGTTTAGGTAGGTATGTTGTATTTGTACTCAAATACTCAATGGACTCATTATTAAATAAATATTATATTATTCTAAAATATTATAACATCCTTACCTGAATTTTAAATAAAATTTCTTTTTATTATAAAATAATAATATAATATTATTAAAGTTATTTATTTTTAAAGTAGTTTATTTTATCTGAAACTAGGGGGCCCCCAGATGCATCCCGGGTAACAATCCTGGTGTACTTATGGTTCAAACATAATATTATTACGTTCCTTGCACTGTTCAAATCCTGGTCTCTACACCGACCTATGAGAAGTTTGAATACGGGGTTTTAACATTAGTTGAACTGTGTTCAATGTATGTGCTAAGGTCGCGTTATAAACCGTCCATTGGTCTATATTATACGGTGCATAAATGGTCCAACTGTCTATATTAGACAGTGCATAGTTGGTCCAACCGTCTAAATTAGACAGTGCATAGTTGGTCCAACCGTCTATAGTAGACAGTCTACAATATATATATACATGGGCGTTCTCGTAGAGGGGGGATATGAGGAATAGATCCCCCCATGGCCTTTTTTTAATGCCAAATAACAGGTATTATTTATTTATTTGCAATTAATTTGTATATCCCTCTCCAAAATTTTAATGTTAATACTTAGATACAATATATATTGACTAAAACTATAATCCATTTTGATTATACTATTATAATAAATTATACATTTTGGGTCCCTTTGCCACACGAAACCACCCTTGATTTTTAAGTTTGAAGAACTTTTATTACTTAAAAACGTGATGACACACACAAAAAAATAAAATAAAATAAAAAAAAGACATCATTGTAAAATCAATACATTCATCAATCCGTTCAGAATCTAAAATATTCAGTTAATATTAATAATTAGCTGTTTTCTAAAATCTAAGTTATTTTGGAATTTATACATGTGTGTCTATAATATATATAGTCTATATAGTATCTTATATAAATACTATTGTTTGCATTCATATTACCTACCTAAAATAAAAAATACAATCAATACAAAATATTTCTATCTTATTCTTTCTTTTTTAATTAACACTGAAAATAATATGCATAGTTATATATTATTATAATATTATAATAGATACATAAATGTATGGTATACAATGTATTATTCATTACAAAGGTCATTTTTCTGGACAGTATTTTCTTCGTTTGTGGTGGTATCTGCAGTGTTACATTTTGTTTTTGGAAGTGGTGCATGTTTTAACCAATTTTGTACTACATCAGTAAATGATACTTCATCTTCAGGAGTTTTTATGTATCCAGATAATGCATCTAAAAAATATATATTTATTTTATAAATAAAAACTATGTATTACAGTTATATATTATTAATTTAATATTTAAAGGTTGAATAATATACTAAATGATAGTTTATTTTTAGTTAATATTTCGTCATAATATGATTTTCCTATGTATTTTTAAAAGTAGTAAAAAAATGTGTTCATTTGTTTTATATTAAAGTGTAGGTATACATTTTTAATTTTAATACATTGTTTTACCTTGAGATAGGTTTGCCATACGTCCCGGAAAACCGGGATTGTCACTGGTTTTGGACTTTGTGTCTCGGTGTCCCGAAAAACGTTTTCGGGACGTCCATATGTCCCGGCTTAGACGTCTAAAGGAAATGTAGTATTGTTTATTTTTTTAATTTCGACCAGTTTATTTCAAAGTACATTTTTAATCGTAATCGATTAACAATATATAATAAAAACATTATTTGTAATTTACACATATATTTTATTTTACAAAAAGATTTTTAAATATTATATTGCCGGCATAGACGTACGCAAGGGGGTAACCGGGTGGGCCGTGGCCCCCCTGTGAACTCTGGATTTTTCTTATTTAGGTGTATATCTATATTATACAAGATGGCGAACATTTTTACATTTTACATGAATAAAGTAAAGTCTGTTTTAATTATATAGTATAGAATTTATATTTGTGAATAAATGTTATAAAGTTATTAATTATTAATCAGACTAATCAGAACTTGAATATAATATAAAAATTGAAGATGTAATTCATGCATTCAAAAACCTTACTCTCGTTGACTCAGAAGGATGGAGTTGTAAATAGTATAATAATATGTAAATAAGGATTTCTTAGACATAAATTGTGTAAGTTTAAAGAGTATTTATTTTTATATTTGTATTTTGAATAAAATAAATAATTTATAAAATTTAAAATATTTAATTATACTGTATTTAGTACAAGAATCTTTGGTTCACTTTTTTTAAGGGCCCCCCTGCGGACAAAGTTTGCGCACGCCAATGATTGCCGGCCATTAATGGTCTTCTTCAGTGACGTATACATAACTTTTGTATGGGGGGGAGGGGTGATTTGCAAACAAGTCATAATTTTTATTTTATTATTATTTTCTTTTTTTTACGTTTTTAACACTCTTACACTAAGAACATTATTTTATAACATTTAAAAAAAGGCCTAGGGGAACTGACCTCTACAACCCCCCTTGTGTACGTCACTGGTCCTCCCAATATATTAAAAGTATATTACTCAATAATTTGTTTGTTTTGTCCCGGTTTCGCCTTATAAATTTATGGCAACCCTACCCTGAGAAATATTCGGCTTAGGAATATTTAATTAAAATTATATGGTGTCGTTCAAAAATTATCATCATAAAAAATTGTAAAAATTTAATTATTTTCAAAATTTCATATTTCTTTATGTTTACTTTGTGATAATTAATTATATTATGTACCCACAATACTTTTAATAAAAAAAGGTTTTTTTTAAATAAATGATTCTTTATCGTTTTTTTTATTTATTTCAATAGCTGCATATTATAATCTGTATTATAGGTAATAAGCAGCCATTCAAACACATTAACATTTTTAAAAATTAAGATAAAAAAGAAAACCAAACAATTACATTTGTCTTTTTTTTAAGGTGGGTATATAAAATAAAAAATAAAAAAAACTATAGATAAAATGAGTGACTTGAGCAAAATATTTACTCAGAACTAAAACAAACTAACTTTATATTTTCATACCTGATATAACTTTAAAAATATTCAAATTACTGAATTTCAATTTAGTTTTTCCTTTCAAACTAAAATCTGCTGCAATTGTGCGGGTCATAACAAAACTCATTGCAGTCCGTACTGCTGAATTCAAATGTTTATTTCCAATTTTAAAGAGCCAAAACCATTTCTGTAAAAGTAATAAATATTATATTTCTTAACTAAAAAAGTAAAAGGTAGTTTTAATTTATATTTGTGCATTATTACCAAGTCTTCCTTATTTCTCATGAAATCATTAGAATCTGGATGTAACAACCGCTCAACTTCACTTAAGTCTTCCATAGTAGAAATAGGAAGAAGATCAATAAACGCTGCAGATAATTTAGGTTGCGGAAATGCTAGTGCTCGAAGACGTTTGTCTGCTTCAAGAACCATGTTTATTTTTTTATCAAGTGTCTCTAAATATGTACACATTTTAGCTTGAGTAGCATTAAGCATTGAAACTAGCCCTAATATTGCCTCCAACTTGGACTGAATATTTTTTTTTAGATTTCTTATAGAACTGCAACAACAATCATTTTTTTGGTTTCAATTATCATCTGTCGCACTAACTGTACCACCCATATTCAACTGAAAAATGTATAATATGTTTTAACAAAATCATAAAGAAAATTGTAAAAAACAAATATTATACATACACTGTTATCAAATGAATCTTGACTATACATTGATATAACTTCCCCTGTAATGTTATTTTGAGTTTTCGAAACTTCTTTAATTATTGTTAATGGACTACTTGAATCAGTTAAGTTTTGTTCAGAACAAATATTATTGTTCAAAAGTTGATCAACCTTTTGTGATTCAAAACCGAAAATATTATTTATTAATTAATTAATTATTAATAGTGAAGTACTTCTACATTAAGAAAAAAATACAGGAAAAATATCCACATTCTTGATGATAATTTGAAGGAACTTGTACGAGATAAAATGGTGTTTCTAGAGTAGTGTTATTATAGTCTATTACATTACAGTCACCAACCTCATTATATATGCCTATGAAATAATAAGAATAATTTACTATTTGTGGTAGACACTATGTAAATGTATATAATATACTAGCAGTTCCTTGTGCCAAAGATTAGTTTTTTTTTTTTTTTTTTATAAATAATAAATTTATTTCTAAAAAAAATATAAATGCCACGTTTCTAATAATTATAGTAAAGTATTATATCTGATTAATTAAATTATATAATATAATCTTTAGCAACCATGTATCTATATCTATATAATTATATAAGGAGGAAAGATTTGATTGTTTGTATTGAATAGGCTCCGAAACTACTGAATCGATTTAAATGAAATTTGGTAAATAAATAGTTTAGACACTGAGAAAGGACATAGGCTACTTTTTAATACTAAAAAAGGGCTGTAAGGGGTTGAAATAGGGGATGGTATATATAATATAACTCTACTGTGCGTGTGTATGTCACTGTTACTTTGCCAAATTTCAGACATCTCTGTAAGTGATGTTTCTTCAGGTTCAGATGTATAATTAATACTTGAACTTTGTTGTGTGTTCTTTGTTAATGGAAACGTCTTATTTATTGGCTTCTCAGAAACTGAAAATTGAATGATATTGATAGGTATTACAATTTACAGTTGCCATATTTACATTATGAATAAAATTACCATTTGAGAAATGTTCATCAATTACAGAAGTGGGAATTTTTGAGACATTTTTAAGATCTTTAATAGTTTCCATTGGACATATTGGCGGTTCAGGTAATGACATATTCTTTGATGACTGTTGATTATTAGTTTTTTTTTTAGAATTATTTTCTTTGGAAGTTATTGTTGATGCTGCTGATTCAGGCGAATAACGTTTAGTTGACTTTCGAATACGAGATTGATCAGGATTATAGTTTTGTACATAATCTTCACTGTCTTCACTGCCAGAATATGCTCTAGCAACATTCCTAGCTATAATCTCTTTATCTATAACATATACAACAATATATCTGAATGTTTTCATAATAATAATTGGTAATAAAAGTTAAATATAAAAAGATTATATGCCTACCTAATGGTCCAGCAATTTTCGAAGCACTGAACCAAGTGCCATCTGTTATATTTGGTGCATAACAGTCAAGAATCATTCTTTTGATCTGATTTGAAGGTTACTTTACTATTTGGTTTTTCTTTTTTTGTAAAAAGAAACCAACACTCTCCCTTTTCACATAAATCTTGTGATGATATATTTTTGTACCAGTTTGAAGGAACATGTTGTACATAGTTACCTTTAAATGCTACTACAATCCATGATCTATTAATTTTAAAATTGAAGTACCATTATATTTATTCCCATTACAATCGATAAAATTAGTGATTATTATTTTATTATCATTATTTCGTCAATATTTTACGATTTACTCTGTGAACATTATTACAACATTATTAGCAACTTATTTTGTTATTTGTTTATTATTTATCAAACACATATAAACTGATTTTTTGTTTTGGAGTTTTGGTGTAGGTACCTATAATGAACAATATAGGTAAATCTATATAAAAAACTATATCACTAAGTTCATGTTAAGTACTAATTAATTAATTATAAAAAACAAATAATACCTATTTAAAATTTGTTTTAAATATTTTTATAAAAGTATTTTAATAATGCTTTAATATATAACAAAAAAAGTATTATTTATTACACTGGAGTAATAATAGTTGGATACTTTATTTTTTTTTCTTGCTTAATTATCAAAACGTATTAGTATGGTCATTACACCAATAAATTTCCATAATACCTATGTATCATTATTTTCAAACAATTATTATATTTGGTTTATCTCTACGTCTACAGAAAACTCAAGTTTGTTCTCAATTGAACAGGAAAAACTTCACAATAGGTACATTTGTCAAGAGCATTTCCCCCCCCGAGAGCTTTACAAATATATTTAATAAAATCCGTTTAGTAAGCACTGCTATTTCATATAAATATAAATCTGAGCAAAAACAACAACCATCTACATTATTAGGTTTTAACCAAAATGATGCATCTGAACAAGAATGTCTTACAATTTCAACTCCAGTAAATACTTACACACACACAAAATCAGACATGGTAGAGTTAGTTTTTTCTAGCCCCTCTTCATCGTTATCTACTCCTAGATCTAATAAATCGTTATCTAATAAAACTAAAATTACAGATATAATACAAATGGCAGACTCAAATTTAAAAAGGAAATGTGATTTGTTAGAAAAAGATACTCATAGAAAATTAATTTTAAAACAAATATTAAAACAAAAAAATAAAATTATTCATAATAAAATCACACATATTTCAAAATTAAAAAAAAGAGGTAGATGTTTTAATCGCTATAATAATTTAAAAAATTCAATAAATTCACATCAATTTTCATCAATTAACTCCAAAGCAATTGTGACTATGCAATTAAAAGATAGACAACGTCCATGGACATTAAATGAAAAAAATTTGGCATTAAATTTATATTATAAATCACCCAGTGCATATAAATTTTTACGTTCCCAAAAAGTAAATTTACCAGGACTTTCAACAATTCGTCTTTGAATAGGTCAATCAAAATTCTTACCAGGTTTTAATCAAATATTTTTCAGTCATCTTAAAAAAAAATTTGAATCAACTGATAATAAAGAAAAAGTATGCACTGTTTGTTTCGATGAGATGTATATTAAAGAATTTATAGAATATTCCAAAGAATTTGATTTCATTGAAGGTTTTGAAGACTTAGGTCAATATGGCAGGACAAATAAAAGTGCTGTGTTCTGGGTGTTTATGGCTCGAGGTATTTATTCACCGTGGAAATTGCCAGTCACCAATTTTCTTTCTCGTTCTGGTGTTGACAAAATCAATTTAAAAAATTTAATAATTGACGTCCTTAAAAATTTATTTGAAGTAGGATTGTGTCCAAAAGTTGTTGTTTGCGATCAAGGCACAAATAATCAATAACTCGGGGGTTAGAGGTTATTGCATATTTTGGCAAAATTCAAAATTTATTGCATATTGAAGTGAAAATTTTAAAAAAAATGTATAAAATAATATTTTGTCTAATAGAAAAATTAAAAATAAATTTCATAGTCACTAAATAATAATTTATATATATATTTAGTTATAAAATAAATAATCGATAACGACATAAACTTAATTGCTCTTGCTGTGTCAGTTGATTATCGACATACCACTTGCTTCAAATATAACCCAATAACTTCGGTTGACATCGAGGGTTCGTTTTCAATCTTTAAAAATATGTTAACCGATAAACGACACAACTTCACAGAAGATAAACTTGAAATCCATATTATTTATCTTAATAATAAATAAAATTTTAAAAATAAATTAAGTTCGGAAAATTCCCTAAATTTTTTTGTATTAAGTATTTAAGTAATTAATTTTTATAAGTTGAATTATAAATTTTAAATACATAAAAAATTCTTGCATATTTTCATAATTTTGACTACATATTTTTTACATATTTTCATAATTTTGACTGTATATTTTTTGCATATTTTCATGATTTTTACTGCATATTATATGGCATATTTCGATACTTTTGAGTGCATACAAATCTACGCTCTAATAATCACTATTTTTTATTTTACTTACATCAATAAATGGAAGGAATTTTCGAATTATATGCTCTAAATTATGCGGTTTAATTTCATTAGCACAAATTGATAACATTAGATTGTGATTTTTTCCACACAATCTACATGAGTCTTTCACATTTTGCATAGATGACACCATTTCTGTTGTATCTAAGTATAAATAATAACTAAATAATTGCTAAAATTAAATTAATTATCAACTATTATAAAACAAGATCTTTTATCAATGTCATTATATTTTTTGGGACAACTTATTGATTATATAGATTATTTAAAATACCAAATTAACAGATATGTTCGATACATTTCAATTTATACGATTAATTTAATAATTCAATACATTTTTAAAATGTAAAATATCAAATATTAATAGATTAAATTAGAATGGAAACTGATAAGAAAAATACACAGCACTTACGGCCAGCCAAAAATATGGTCTGCCATATTGAAAGGGCTCATCAGTGTAGACCTAAAATTTAATATGAAATATTTTAAATACCATAAAGACAGAGGTGTACAATATTTTTTCTGATACCGAGATTAATGTTAGCTTTTTCTTGAAAAATGTAAATAAACATACATACACAGAATAGATTAAATCTATTCTGTGATACATATTTACTAATTAAAATATATCACTGATCTTTAGTGAAAAAGATTTTACTTTTTAACACAAGCCAAATAATAATCGTACTTAAATAAATAAATCAACAAAATTGCATTTATTAGTGTATTATTAAGTGTATAAACAAAATACATTACAAATGATAATAAAAGACATACCTACAAATATTATTAATAATAATTATAAGAACAAATTGTTAAAAATAATTTTCGATCAGATTATAGGTTGAAATACTCAAACGAACAAAAATAATTAAATATGTTCAACCTTTCCTCCTCTGCACGATATTCTCTTAGACGGTATATATAGTGATACCATTCCTCTTCTAATTCTTATCGTCTGGCATTCATATTGTTTGGATATGAATCCCTAAACCATCTAATTTTTCTTTCAGCATCCCTTAACAATCTGTATCTGTCTACGTCCGTAGTATCGAATGATATATTTGGAGGGGATTGAAAATGTATAATAATTGCTATTCCAATCAGTTTTTCCTTTTTTCTTTTCTTTTAAATCAATTAAATCAATCTAAAACTTTTAAGGAACTTAAAAATGAGAATAAAAAAAAAATTAAAAAATATTTTTGATTTTATAAATATTTTAGATCATTTGAAATACCTACTCTTAAAAAACTAATAGAAAACTTAAAAAAATACAAATAATTTAAAATAAGATTTTTGAAACTTCATAATTATCATGTTTATTCGTGCTCTATTCGAGGCGATTACAAAATTTATTGTAAATTAAAATAGTTAATTCATTAAAAACCCATTAAATATGCATATTATATGCATTTATGAACAAATATGTAATAATCTTCAAAATATGCAAAATATGCAATATAAAACTTGATGTTTGGTTATTCGGTGTGATATGAATCGTGAATATTTTAAACTTCCATAGACGTGCATACACTTAGTACAAACATGCAAATGCATATGAATCCGGGCTCTAATCATCAGTATTATTAATTTTTAGTGACTTCCACAATCGAAAAAAACCAAACATTGAAATTAACCAATCTAATAAATAGATGTAGATTATTATTAAATAAAATATATCCACATTTTAAACTTAAGTTAATTAAAAACAAAATTTATAACTAAGACTTATATTTTATATTCATACAAAACAAACGTTTAATAATATTCTTTTAATCGTATAACCAAATCTCCATTAATAAGTGTATTAATATTAATTGGTGGTCCACTACAATTTTCAGGATTTAATACAGTTTTAAGAATTATATTTTTATCATTATTTACTTTATATGATTTTAAATGAGGGCAATAGCAATCAATTTCTATTTGATTAACTACAAATATAACAGTTAAATTATTTTTGTCAATGATAATTTCTAAAATTTCATAAAGACAAACTTCATCAACAAAATTTGTTAAAAAATACCCAATTTTATAAGTTGTGCCATTATATTCAGTTTGAGAGTAACTTAACAAATTATCAGAAGGAAAACCAAAAATTCTCTGTAAAAATTCTATGTCATTACTTATTATTTTATATTTTTCATCAAGTTCAATATTTTTATTATTATTATTATTTTTACTATTCATTATGTTAAATGCATACTTGTATTGATATTTTTTAGCCAATGACATCATAATGTTTTTCCTAGAGCTTATATTTCGAGCATATGTTTTTAGGTTTTTGTGCTTAGCTTCATATCTGAAACTCCAAAAATGTTTAGGAGGTCCAGATTGTCGAATGACTAATGGATAATGTAAAAGAATGTGATGTTTAGGTTTTAACGTATCTTGAAAAAGTAAAACGTAATCTAAATGATGTTGTTTTATAAGTAGTTCTAAACGAATTATTGAATTACTTTTTATTTGGTTTGAAAGTAGAATATCTACTATTTCCAAA